AACGGGCCTCAGAAATAATACCACATATCTACAACCATCTGATCTTCAACAAACCTGACAAAAACAAGCAATGGGGAAAGGATTCCCTATCTAATAAATGGTGCTGGCAAAACTAGCTAGCCTGTGCAGAAAACTGAAACTGAATCCCTTCCTTACACCTTATACAAAACCCTAGAAGAAAACCTAGGCAATACCATTCAGGATGTAGGCATGGGCAATGACTTCCTGACAAAAACGCCAAAAGCAATTGCAACAAAAGCCAAAATGGACAAATGGGATCTGATTAAACTAAAGGGCTTCTGCACAGCAAAAGAAACTATCATCAGAGTGAACAGGCAACCTACAGAATGGGAGAAAGTTTTTGCAATATACCCATCTGACAAAGGTCTAATATCCAGAATCTGCAAGGAACTTAAACAAATTCACTAGAAAAAAACAAACAACTCCATCAAAAAGCAGGCAAAGGATATGAAAAGACACTTCCCAAAAGAAGACATTTATGCAGCCAACAAACATGAAAAAAAGCTCAATATCACTGATCATTGGAGAAATGCAAATCAAAACCACAATGATATACCATCTGACCAGTCAGAATGGCAATTATTAAAGAGTCAAGAAATAACAGATCCTGGTGAGGTTGTGGAGAAATAGGAACGTTTTTACACTGTTGGTGGGAATGTAAATTAGTTCAACCATTGTGGAAGACAGTGTGGCAATTCCTCAAGGATCTAGAACCAGAATTACCATTTGACTGAGTAACCCCATTACTGGGTATATACACAAAGGAATATAAATCATTCTACTATAAGGACACATGCATACATATGTTTGTTGCAGTACTATTTACAATAGCAAAGACATGGAACCAACCCAAACACCCATCAGTGATAGACTGGATAAACAAAATGTGGCACATATACACCAAGGAATACCATGCAACCATAAAAAGTAACGATCTCATGTCCTTTGCAGGAATATGGATGAAGCTGGAAGCCACCATAATCAGCAAACTAACACAGCAACAAAAAACCAGACACCACACGTTCTCACTCATAAGTGGGAGTTGAACAATGAGAACACATGGACACAGGGAGGGGAACAACACACACTGGGTCCAGTCGGAGGTGGGGGATGAGGGGAGGGAGAGCATAAGGAAAAATAGCTAATGCACGCAGGGCTTCAAACCTAGGTGATGGGTTGATAGGTGCAGCAAACCACCATGGCACATGTATACCTATGTAACAAACCTACATGTTCTGAACTTGTATCCCCGAACTTAAAGTAAAATTTTAAAAAAGAAAAAAAAAATCAGTGAGTCTTTTCAACAAATGGTACTGGAATAACTGGACATCTACATGCAAAAACACACAAAAATTAATTTAAAATGGGCCACAGCAATGCAAATGTACAATGCAAAACTATACAATTATACAACCCCTGGAAGATAACTTAGGGAAAAAATCTAGGTGACCTTGGGTTTGGTGATGACTTTTATATACAACATCAAAATCATGATTTATGAGAGAATAAATTGTTAAGTTGAACTTCCTTAAAATTAAAAACTTTTTCTCCACAAAAGCCACCGTTAAGAGAATAAAAAGACAAACCACAGACAGAGATAATATTTGCAAAATACCTATCTGATAAAGAACTGATATCCAAGATATACAAAGAACTCTTAAAACTCACAATAAGAAGAAAACAACCACCCAACTATACAATGGGCAAAAGGTCTAAAGAGACATCTCAACAAAAAAGATATACGGATGACAAATAAGCATATGAAAAGATGTTCAACATCATACATCATTAGAGAAATGCAAATTAAAACAACAAGAAACCACTAGACACATATTAGAATGACTAAAATCCAAAACACTGATAACATCAGATGCTGATGAGGATGTAGAGCAACCAGAGCTCATTCATTGCTAGTGGAAATGCAAAATGGTAAGCCACTTTAGAAGACAGTTTGGCAGTTTCTTACAAACTAAGCATAGTCCTACCATACAATCCAGCAATCATATTCCTTGGTATTTACTCAAATGAGTTGAAAACTTAACATCTACACAAAAACCTGCATGAGAAAGTTTATAGCAACTTTATTTGTAATTGCCAAAACTTGAAAGCAACCAAGATATCCTTTAATAGGTGAATGGATAAACAAATTTTGATACATCTGTGCAATGGACTATTACTTAGAGATAAAAAGAAATGAGCTATCAAGCCACAAAAACACATGGAGGAAACTTAAATGCGTATCGCTAATTGAGAGAAGCCAATCTGAATGGCTGCCTTACTGTATGATTCCAATTATATGACATTCTGAAAATGGCAAAACTGTGGACACAGGAAAAAAAAAAATCAATGGTTGCCAGGAGTTTGGAGGCAGGGAGAGACAAATAGGTAGAGCACAGGTGATTTTTAGGGCAGTGAAACGATTTTGTGTGATACAGAAATGGCGGATGCATGTCATGGTACATTTGCTAAAACCCATAGAACATACACCAAGAGTGAACGTTAATGTAAACTGTAAACTTTAGTTAATAGACAGGACTGAATATTAATGTAAACTCTGTTAACTTTAGTTAATAATGTATTAACATTGGTAATCAATTGTAACAAATGTAACATGCTAATAAAAGATTTCAATAAGAATAGGAGAAACGGAGTGTGGGGTTGGGGAGTGTGGGGTTGGTATGTGGGAACGCTCTACTTTCAACTCAATTATTCTATAACCTGAAAACTGCCCCTCAATTATGAAATCTATTAAAGAACAAATCAATAAAAATAAATAAAAATTTAAAATAATCAGTGAGAATAAATTTTGAAGCAATATTCCCTCTATTTCTATATATGTTTCAAGTTTCTATAACAAATTTTTACAAAATGTGCATACCAAGATAGTCCACAGCTAGGAGTTTACCCTATAGATATATGCACATATCAATCAGAGATTTACATGAAAGGATTATGTACTTTGTCAATAATAGCAAAAGTCAGGAAACAACTAAATACCTATTAACAAATAATTAAATAAATTATGCTTTTTTTACACATGAAATACTACAGAGCAGTTAAAAAGGGACAGCTGGCCAGGCGCGGTGGCTCATGCCTGTAATCCCAGCACTTTGGGAGGCCGAGGCGGGTGGATCACCTGAGGTTGGGAGTTCAAGACCAGCCTGACCAACATGGTGAAACCCCATCTCTACTAAAAATACAAAATTAGCAGGGCGTGGTGGTGCATGCATGTAATCTCAGCTACCTAGGAGGCTGAGGCAGGAGAATCACTTGAACTCAGGAGGTGGAGGTTGCGGTGAGCCGAGAGCACACCAATGCACTCCAGCCTGGGCAACAAGAGTGAAACTCGGACTCAAAAAAAAAAAAAAAAAAAAAAAAAACAGGACAACTATATGTGTAGAATGCAAGTAAGCTCCACGATAGGGAAGGTATTGTTGCTTTGTTATTGTTCACTAATACAGCCTAAATAGCCAGTGTGTCTGGCACCTGGTAGATCCTCAATAAGTATCTGTTGAATAAATGAATAGAGAATAATGGTTAAATTTGTTTAAAAGCAAAGTAAAAACAATGTGCATATAGTTTGCTTATCTTGATAGGCTGAAACATGAGGGCATCCCTCTTGACCAAGAGCTACCCCAGATGTAGACTCTGATTTTCCATGGAGCTGGGAGCAGAAATAAAGGAAGCACAGTGTTGGGTGGGGATTTTAAAAATGAATCTGAACCCTTTTCAACAAAATTACTCAATCCTCTTAGTGTGTAGACTCAGCCTTAGAGTGGATGATTACAAAAGTTCAAACGCGTAATATTTTATGGTGAATACCAAGACTTACAATAAAACTTACAGTAATCAAGACACTGTGGGAATGACATAAGGATGACCCTATAGAACAGAACAGAGAAACCAGAAAGAGATCCACACTTACGTGGTTATTTTTAACAAAGATATCAAAGTAATCCAATGGGGAAAATCTCTTCAACAAATAAAAAAGCAAAAACAGAAACATTATTTATATATGGGGAGAAAAGTAACCTCAATCTTTACCTCATACCATACACAAAAATTATTTATTTATTTTTGAGATGGAGTCTCACTTTGTTGCCCAGACTGGAGCGCAGTGGCATGATCTCAACTCACTGCAACCTCGACTTCTTGGGTTCAAGTGATTCTCCCACCTCAGCCTCCCAAGTAGCTGGGATTACAGGCACCCACCACCATACCCAGCTAATTTTTGTATTTTTAGTAGAAACAGGGTTTCGCCATGTTGGCCAGGCTGGTCTTGAACTCCTGACCTCAGGTGATCCACCAGCTTCAGCCTCCCAAAATGCTGGGATTACAGGCGTGAGCCACAGCGCCTGGCCAAAAATTAATTTAATATGGAAAATAGACCTAGCAAAAGTTAAAACTATAGTTTCTATCTTAGAAGGAAACAGGAGAATATTTTTGGTGACAGGGTATAGGTAAGTCTCTTAGGACAGAGAAAGCAATCAACATAAAAGAAAAAAGTAGATAAATTAAACTTTAAAATTTAAAATACATCTTTTGAAGACACTGTTAAGAAAATGAATAGGCTAGCCACAAAGTGGGAGAACATATTTGCAAGGCATATATATTTGATAAAGGAGTAGTGTCCAGAAGATATTAAGAATTCCTATAACTCAATAACAAAAGACAAACAACCCAAAACAGGGCACTCGTAGAGAAATAAGGTCCAAGTGATGCTTAGTGTGATGAAACAACCAGATACATAAGAACTAATCCAGTAATATTATACAACCTTCATACTTTATCCAAACTCTGAATATAATGGAAGAATCATTTAATATTTCAAGAAGATAACATTAATTGGCATATAAATTTGCCCATTAAAAAGTAAATTTAACATGAAAATAAATATTTCTATCTATGAATCTCATTCCAATTGACCATTAACAAAGTTCGGTAATAATAACTCACCAATAAAAAGCCACATGAAAAACTGTGTTACATATAGTTTATTTTTATTTCATAGCCTTTTTAAAAATATAAGCCACCTAATATTTTGAAAAACATACACAGAATAATCATTTAGCTGCCACAATATTACAAAAATAAAATGACACAGAATAAACTGCACAAGAGAACAAAATAATCTCTGCTGAGTCACTCTGACTGGGAACACATGATAGTCACTAGGAAGGTGAAGTGGAGCCGTACTGCCATTTCTTCAAGATCAGTTATCACTCAAATCAATCACAGGTACTCCCAGGAGACCATTCCATGCACTACACAGGAATATGTGCAATATATAGATGTCAAGTTAACATCTTGAATTTAATTCCAAATACCATTCTTTCTTTTCCTCTGGGAGACAAGTTCAATGGCAAGCTAGAATAGTGAAGACCATGGGACATCAAGCCCATGACTGACCCACACCTCTCCCAGCTGGTTCTACAACGCAAGAAAGAGAATAAAGTATACTGTGCTATCTAACACAAAAGCTAGTAGCCCCATTTGGCTATTTTAATTTAAATTAATTACAATTAAACAAAATTTAAATTTTCCTTCCTCAGTCACACTAGCCACATTTCAAGTGTTCACTAGCCCCATGTGTCTAAATGGTTAGCATATTGGACACTGCAGATATAGAACATTTCTGTCATCACAGAAAGTTCTTTTAGACAGCCCTGGATGTGGGAAGTGTTTCTTCTTTGCTTAGCTAGGATGTAGGCTGCTTATAGAAGCAGCTTTGAGAGGCAATTCTTCTCCCAGGATATTCCTAGACCGGTGGTGGAGTCACAGAAAGGAGTAAGGTAGCCTTTCTCTGCATAGATTCCCCTCCTCCATGCATGAAAGCAACGGTCTTTTTATAGGAATCAAATACACAAACCCAGACTCCACCAAAATATAACTGACAGGATAATTAGAGAGGAGAGAAATGATGCAGATGAGGGAGCAGCGTGGTAGAACATTCTTTATCCTACACCAACCCTCCATAAAGAGGTTATGGCCACCAAGGAAGTGCGCAGGTACCCAGGGCCCTCTAGAAAATCCTGATGTGGGACAAGGATATTGGCTAAGAGAGGTCAGTCCTGTCAAGAGTTTTGTGAGAACACCTGACATGCCTTCACTCTGCTCACTCTGTCAGAGGGGAGCAGTGCTGCTTGGAGCTTTGACAGTTGTGAAGGAACTAGAGTTTTGATCTTTTTGAACTTTATGCTCCTCTGCAACTGTATTTTGTAGCCAGGGCATAAAATGTTAGTTGTCCTCCCAAGATCCACCACCATCTTCTTCCTCATCAAGAGAAAATGGATTTTTGTCAAAGGCAGTTATATATCCAGCTACGAAAACTACATTTCTCAGACAATCTTGCCGATAGCAGTAGCCAATGACACAGTTCTGGCCAATGAGATGAAGGCAAAAGCTATTGGCCTGCTGAGGAAGCTCTTAAAAAGCAAGTGGATTCGAACTGGCATGCCCCGTTTTCTCTGTGGGCTTCCTCCTCCTTCTTGTGGGCAGCTGCAGGGACCATCTTGGAACCTGGAGGAAAAAGCCAAAGGAACCTCAGCAGCCACCTTAATTAAGCCTGACACCCGTGAGCTGCTGAACCAACACCAGCAGCTGCCTGCCTCTAACCTCCTTGTTCTATGAGAAAAGAACAAACCCTCTAATTTGTTTAAGCCGCTCTTCAGTCCAAAACTTCCTATTCCATTATCAAGATAAAAATTCATCTTGATTCCCAATAGGAAAGTGTGATTTTCATCTGAAAGGAAAAGACATCTTGCTTGAAGAATCTGTACCTATTCAATAAATTCAAGTAACTTCAGAGTCATACTAACAAAACAAAAGTCACAGATAAAGGTTTTAGCTCAAACCCACCCATGTCTTCAGGATCTGTCTATACAGACCAAGAATGGCAGAAATGTTTGGGTTCATTATACAAAGTGGCTACTGTTAAGGAAAATAAGAGGGTTTTTTTTTTTAAACTTTAATCCATCAGAAAGCTTTTCCTGCATGCTTATTAGGTTCTGATTACTGGGTCTAAATGCCCTTCTGATAATCCAGCTTCCTGTATGGGAAGATGCTCATGACTCAGATACTTAATCAGATCATTATTAACCCATAACATTATTTATTTTGTGTAGACAAAATAAAAAGTGGAGGACTGAGAAATGTATTTCACTGATTCAAACAAACAAAAAAAAACTACATCAAAGATTTACAACTCAATTCTTAACCTTCCCTTGTATGTGACACAGACACCTGACAGTGACATTCTAATGATCCTAGAGTTTTAATTGTGGATTTAGCTTAAATATGCACAAATAACTCGGAGTAGCTGCTAAAATTAAAAACAAAGTACAGCACTGTGTAGATACCTTATGTATTACATTAGTATCTTTAGTATTCTACCAGTCTCTAGATTAGTAAGTGTGACTTAGAAAAAAACAAACATTTCCCACTATTCTAAATGGTTTAACCATTTACAAACTTTAAAATTTTGGTCATTTAAAATTTAACTCCATTGCACTGATTTTGAAACTATAGACAAAATTGGAAATACAGAATGTCAAACTAAAAATAGAGTATTTCATATTTTTTACTCACCTAGTTCCAAGTTTCCACCCCTGCAAGCGAACCAAAAACAAATCCTGGCACCTTGCCATTCCCAGAAAAGCCAGTGCATGGCACACTCTGGGTAAATTTTCTCTCTTATTCTGTAGAATCACACCAGATGGCATCAGTTCTGCATCTACAGCTGTGCCCTAAAATTGAAGTTCAGACATAGGAATCTACTTTATTAGACATTTTAGATTTTGCAGGTGTGAGTGTGATGTCATTCTCATTCAACTTAAAATGGTTATCTTGCCAAGTAGAACTGCAGATCCATTGCACTTACAAGTTTGGAAACTAATGCAACAACCAAGATTGTCTTGATAAGATCTGAAGCCATTTTAAACACCTGAAATTTAGAAACAATGATGAAATAATAATATTTGAAATAAAATACAAATATTACATAATAGAATTATGGCTCATTTCCTTATAATGTAAGAAATTCAAGTCACCTTCTAACATTGCTGAAGAATCACTAAAAACCTTTTTATTGAAAATAAAACATAGGAATCTTCTATAATGAAGTTACATTTATATAATAAGCAGTTATTTTAAATATTCTTGACTTTTCAAGTGCTTTAATGTCTGTCTCATACTTACACAGTCTTTAAAAATAGACTTGGCCCATAGTGACTGTCAGAACAGGGGGTGGTCAAGGGATGGAGTAGCCAACATGTAGAAGCCTGAAACCTAGATCATTGTGGGTGTCAGAGTATTTGATCTAAGTCAAAAATGCATTAAGGTAGCCAAAAATGTGAGTTTGAAAGTAGTCCTAATTTGGGAGGTCGGTCTATGTCAGGTCTTGGAAAAATGATGATTGAATAATTAAATAAATAGCAAAAGACAGCTCATCTACAGGTGTCAAAGTTTCAAAAGCAGAGCCTCTAACAAAGCAAGGGCAGGGCAGGAGATCAACAGCAGCAAGATCTAAGAGCAAATGTGAGTTACCTTAATTCCCAGAGCTTAGAGTCAAGTTCCAAGCAGAGGTTGAGTAATAGGAATAAATATTCATTGTGGCCTGGATAAATGGGAACTTGGTCATTAATGAATTTGATTACAAGGAGGTAATAAAATGACCCTGGACACAAGATAGAAAGGCACCACTGCTTTCTTAGGAACATGAGTCAGTAGAACCAGCTGAGAGATTGGATTAATACTCAGATGGTAATAAACTAGTCACCCTGACTTTTCAATAGTCTCCTGTCTAGGAAGAATGATGGGCAGGTTAAACTCATGGATACCAGTGGTGGTGCTAGGAAGATTAAAAGATTGCAAACTCAAGAAGCCAAGCATGTGGTTAAAATAATTTCCATTCTGGTTATTCTAAAGTGTGAAATGATTGTTTTCAATCCTTACAAAAACTATCATTGCTAATTAATTACTCCCACACTCATCTTCAATGTCCGTATTAACTATACAACCCTTTAACTAAATGCCACTGCGGAGATATCAACCAATTAGAGAACTATTGTTCAAAGCACAATACAGAATCACTGCAGTTGATTCAGGGAATTCAAACTGAGAATTCAAATCAAGTCTTACCATAACTCTGATAAAGAGGTGAGAATTTGCTCATACCCTAATAATTAAAGTAAACCACTTATTTATTAAGAACGGGCCTATTTGGGGAGAGTGAAATAGAAAGTGGGAAATTATCTGATGTCTTGGGCCAAAATTATTCACCTGAGACTATTTTTCCTTTAAAGCATCAAAATAATTGTCTTACACTTCACTTTTATATTATCAACTTAGGCAAACTTTAGTATTTCATTTTTTTACCCTCTCTATATGGTCTTTCTTTGTGTCTAAAATTAGTATTTTCAATACTATAGTTATGACTTAGCTTATCCCACACTGATATGACTAACCCAAATCCTCCCTTACTGAAGACAGAGTCTATCTGCATCACATATTTCATCCCATGAACCCCCGCACTGTTTTTCAAAAGAGCAGAATGATTATTAAAAGTGCAAACACTCCTGACATCTCAGTCAAATTTCCACAATCCTCTACTGAGACACTGATTCTCGAAATGAGTTAGGAGTCAGTTTGGCTTTGTAGTTCTGGTAGAAGCTCACCAGATTTGAGTGGGAGAGAGCCCTTTCCTTCCTTGTGCCCATTTCCCCCATCCTGAACCTACATGTTTTTAGGCCCTGGATCTTTAGAAGTTTAGTCATAACTAAGGCCAACGTGAAACCATGTGCCATCCCAACCTACCATTTGCAGAAAGCTTCCATCTCCCGTTGTTCCAGCCTTCTTTTTGCAGGCCCAAACTGTCATTGCAGCTGTGGTCCTCTATGCACTAGTCAAGGGCAGCAGCTCGGCTCTAGAAAGAGAGACGACATAAATCCAGGGAAAAGCTTCCGAAGGATGAAGATATTTCCCAAACTAACATTACCGAGAGGGTACTTATGGCATACTGGTACTCAAGTTTGCTCCTGCCCACCCATATTCTGCAAAAGTTCTAGTAATTTAAACTGAAACCACAGACCCGCCTCTCCGTCCTTTTTCCTGTTTCCCTACGCTATGCAAACAGTACCTCTTTTAGCTGGCTTTCCAGGCCATCACCCAAAAGGTCACGTACCGGCAAACCCTAAGGCATCTTTCAAATGACTCTCACTGTAACGTTCACCATCCGCTGTCCCAGATTCCAAACCTACCCTGCACTGCAATCCGCAGACACTAACTGTGGTTGGTGGCTAGAATATGAGTAAGGAACACCGGGAGGAAGGGATTCCTCCCTCCAAATGGGCGACTGAATCTTCCCTCCCCCACGCCCCACCCCAGCACCACCAGACGAACTCCATTTACCATCTCTCAAAGCGCAAAAATGTTTAAAGCAATTTTTAAAATACTTCAAGTGCGCTGTTTCCTCCTGCCACCTGTCCCAAAGCCCACACACTCTTTCTCAAAAATGTGGATATTCAGGTTAACCTTCGATTTTGTTCGAAAATAGCTAAACTGAATTACCCGAATAATTTACTTTTCCACTCCTTGGGTATAACTAAAATGCAGTTGAACCGAAAAGAGCTTGCTGTTGTCCAAAGTCACTCCGGCTCCAAGGGGCGAATTCTCTTTTCGCCATCTCTCCCAGCCCTGGAACAACTTGGGGTCCCTCCCGAAGAGCAAAGCGCCAGCCCAGACCCCATACACCCACCGTCCCTGGCACCCGAACGCTCTGCGAGCCCCGGGCCTCCCACAGGAGCGGAGACGCGGGTACCTGCGCCTCACGCCGGAACCGACCCGTCAGAGCCGCCGAGCCCCGCACCTGGAAACTGGGAGGCCACGAAGACGCAGAATTGAGGCGGAGACCCAGCCCAGGGCCCGCGCAGTTCGGTGCCCTCCCGCCAGTGCCCGCACTCAGGTCACACCGCTTGCTCTCGGGAGAAGCCCCAAGGCTCACGGTGCACCGAGAGGCGCCCGGGCTGGAGCGCCCCGGCTGTGTTGGCCACGGAGTTCTTCAGTTGCTTGATGACCACGAAGAGCAGGAGGAAAAGTAAGAAGAGCAGGAAGAAGAAGAGCGCCAGGTAGAGCAGCAAGTTGAGTTCCCACTCCATGCTGGAGGCGCCGGCGCTCGCTTGCCGTGCGCGCTCGGCACGGGCTGCAACTGGAGGGCGAGCGCGCCGACCGCACACCCACCTCCCCGCACTCCCGCCCCTCGCGAGGCCGTGCCGCTTTGGGCGCCGACTCCGGGGTCCGTGCTCTGCCTCCCCCGGCTCCGAGGAAACGCGCCAAGAAGCTGAGGAAATCCGGCGCCGACTCTCCCCGCTGGCACCAGAGCCTTCCGCTTCGCTGAGATCCTTTCAGGTGCTCTCGAGGACGCGAGCGACTTCCCTAGGAGCGAAATTCCGCTGGCAGGGACGCCAGAAGAGGTAACGGCTCAGTCTCCCAGGGGAGGTCGGGACTGGTGTTTTGCAAATGATTTAAAAGTTCCCCTCCAACATCCAGTAGGGTCCCTAGCCCCCTGTCTTCCGAATTCATTTCTTTCGTTATATCCCTCCGTTCCTGCTTTCCGAAAAGACAGGGGTTGCCATGGCCCAGAGACCCAAAAGAATGAAAGGTGACAGTGAAGACGGGGTCTGAAAGGCTATGAGATGATTTCGTGCTATGAGATGTCTGAGTGAATTCCTGTTCGAGCTGTCTTGCTCTTCAGAGTAGCAGATGCATTCAATGTTGAATGTACTTTTCTATGGACAACAGGTCATTTGGAAAGGCATTAAGAATACAACGTATTTCGGTAGTGATATAGCACAAAGTTTTCAAATATTGGCCTCAAATTCAGTTTCTTTGGTGAAAGGAGGAAAACAAGTTTACTCAAAGTGTTTCTTGAGTCCCTAAAGCCTTTCTGTATCTAGTTGACGTGACCCGAAGCCCATATTGAGCAGCTTTGAAAGCTGTTCAGTGTATCTATTACTGCGCAACAAATTAAACCCAAATGTAGTGGCTTCAAACAACAAACATTGATCATCGCTCACAGTTTCTGTGGGTCCAAAATGTAGGAGCACTGGCTGGGTGATTCTGGTGTGGGGTTACTCATAAGGCTCCGTTCAGATGTCAGCCAGGTCTGCCTTCAGCTGAATGCTTGTGTGGAGGTGGAGGATCCACTTCCAGGATGGTTCACTCGCTGGCTGCCAGGTAGGGCTGGTTGTTAGTGGAAGGCCTCAGTTCCCTTCCATAGGTGCTTCCAACACAGCTGCGGGCTTCCCCCAGAACAAGTGATGAAAGAAAACAAAGCAGAGGCTGCAGTGCTCTTTACCACTAGCTTCAGAAGTCATGTGCGGTCACTATCCTACTGGTCACACAGGTCAGCCCTATTCAGTGTAGGAGTCCAAGAACATGAACGCCAAGGAGTGAGGATCACTGGGGCCGGTCTTGGAGTCAGCTATGACAGCTGCTAATACAGCCAGTTATCATTGCCCATTTGTAGGCCTAACTTTATTTTATTCTTTGTTTATGAAGATGCGGAATTGCCTCCTGGACTGAATTCTGAGGATGAGGCCTGACAACATCCCTGACTGTAATAAGTGGCTGCTCCAGAGATGACAGGGGTTCAAAGAGACAGGATGGTATGAAAACAGTGTGTGAACTGCAAGTCTCATGGACCTGATTCTAGTGTCCGCTCTACCTGTCAGGGGTCACTTTTGCTTAATGACTCTCAGTCCCCTCCTCTGTGACATGCCTTGCTGATCTTTCCCTTGGATTTGTTGTGAGGCTCAAAAATGAGCAAATGTTAAATAAAAATGTGTTTTGCTATATAAACGTCAGATACTGTTATTATTCTTTTACCAAGGGCCCCCAATGCTACAAGCTACTGAACAAAATTTCCAGGCCCTAGGCCTCTCCACCAAGCATCTTAGTGCATAAACGAAAAGAATCTTTTTTTTCATTTTCTCTTTGTCTCTCTCTCAATAACATGATATTGATCCACTTCAAGGCAGTGGTATGCTGGAGCTGGCTCATAATGACTCACAGGAGCTGATTGTTAAATTTTGTAAACCAGTTATTAAATTCCAGCTATTATTAAAAGTTGAATTATATAAAGCTACAATTATGTTAACAACAAAGGTAATTAATACTCAAAACTCATCACTTTCTAATTATTTTATTAGTTTGGTACAAAGGCAAAAACCACGTACTACATTTCACTGCTGTCTGTGCACTTGAGGTTAATTCCATGTGTTGTAGCTGTGTGGTGAAGATGCTGCATAGTGGTATGTTACTGCGCATCTCTTCCCAGCTGTGTTCAGTGCTGTCGTGTTGGTAGCTTGAAATTAGCTATGATGAGTGGGTTTGCCTTGAGAAAATAGACAAATGCTACAAATCAGGACCAGGCAGGCAGTTGTTACATTAACCAGCACAACACTGCTCGTGGGGCTATTGAGAGAAATTTAAAGTCTTATACAAGTTTAGCAAAGATTTGTGATTTTTTTTTTTTTGACCGCCCAGAATCCACACACCTCCACTCTAAGCACCACATGTTCCTACGGATGGAATTCTCCATTTTATGTAATCTTGGCAAGAAGACAGATCCCAGTGCCTACTTTCCCTTGCCACCTCCTGTTACGGAAACCAAGGGGATCAGATATATCTTTTACCCACTCCTGATACAGTGTGGGGAGGAGGGCAAGAAGAGCTATGCCAGAAACTTAGTCAAATATCCTTGTCTCCAGGACTCTGAACCTTGGGAGTTGACAGAACAGGAGGAATGTTCAGAAGTCAGATGCATCCCCGTTGCTCGGGCAATCTTAGCGCCAGAACAGTCCCAAGAGTGACCTAGGCATGGCTACTGCTGCCTGCCTCGACGGCATCCTCAACTCCTGGCCCAGACCGGGCCCTCCTGCTTTCTTTCCATTCCATAACCTTTCTCTGGCTTTCCAGGAAATCTTATTGCTGTGAGGCCAAGTGGTTAGTGCCAGTTTTCAAAGGAGAACGCTGACCAATTATGAAGGCATTGCTTAAGTACTTGGCACATGTTAAGCACTCTTAATTAACAAGGTGTTTGGTAGGAAAGGCGTGTGATTTGGCACATTGCCATCCAGATATCCAAGCTATCGAAGGATGAAAATTGAAGCATGGAGAGGTTAAGTGACCTGCTGAAGATCACACAGCTGGCAAGTGGCAGGAGAGGGATGTGAACCCAGAAAGTCTGGCTCCAGAGCCTGCACTCCCAACCCTCGTGATTGTACTGCCTCGCAGGGAAAAGTGTACTTTTGTGTGCATGACCATCAAATTAATCAACATATTTTTTCTTTTGAGCGTCAGACTAAAAAGAAACACATTTCAAGAGACATATGTCTTCTGCATCTCAGCTCCTACTTTTGAAATCTTGAAGGTCAGAACTTCAAATGAGCCAGTGTTTGCCTGCAGAATGCTGTGGGAAAAGGCCAAGGGATGAAGGTTTTATGTTGCCAAGCTCAAACCCATGTCAGCCTTTCTAACCGTAACTCTTTAGATTATCCATTTATCTGAGCAGCTTAAATGGATTTATAGGTATTAACTAACAAATTCTGATATTCACTTTCCGTAGAATTTGTATTTAAAATAATATTGCTGCCACGAAAAATAACATATTACATTTAGTAGATGCTCCCAATGCTTTTCAGTCTCTGGTTATATTTATGTACCTCATAAAAGGCTCTGAACTTCAGTTTATATTGTATAAATGACTCCATATGAATAAAGCAGAATCTTTCTCTTCCTAAAGATGCACATTAATGGAAATTCATAGAAAGAAAACCCAAGCATTTTAAAAAGCAGAAAGGATACTCACTATAGATAAGAGCATAACTGCTTCCAGAAACTAAAAGATGTACAAATGGGTAGGTGGAGGGAGCTGTGTCACTACAATCACATACGACTGCCCACAGTGTGGACCCCACATACACTCCCACTAACAGCATGCCTCGTCCCCCACTCAGAGTTAGACTTCATGCATCTTTCATCTTCTCAGTTTCCTCCCCGTGGGTCTCAAAACAACTAGATGTTGCCCCAGAGCTGCCCAAGGTCTTAGCCTATGGACCTCTATGGCGTGTGGCAAGATGAGGGTTCCCCTTCCCTTTTCCCACCTTGTTCCTCCCAACTCTCATCTCTTATAGGAAGCAGGTATTTGATCATAACAAGCATCATAGATATTTATGAGAAATGATTAATACCAGGAACAGAAAGGTTTATGTGTCTTGTAAATGTGCTTCTCCAAAGAGTCTAAACACCTAAGAAGACACCCAGAAAGGGCTGTAAAAATCTACTGTCACAATCCTACCTGGACTTACCTGTTGTTGGCACCTGGAGGATGGAAGCAGCTTCCCCAGGAGAAGGGCAGGATAAGAGCAGGAGACAACAGAAAAAGAGATTTCCAGGCACCTTTCTAAGGCTGACTCAACTTGGCCTGACGTGAACCCCTCCAAAAAACAAAGAAATGTTTTGCAACATGCTTTAGTCTTGAAATGTGTTGTTAACCTGGGTAGTAAGACAGGTTCTTAAGTAACAGCACACCTTCCCAGGTGCTGCAAGCCATAAGAATTGAGTGACCCATAGATGATGTTTGCTTAGATGGGGTCACCTTAAAGCACTCATGCATGTGCTGGGGATGAGGTCCATACTCCTTGGAAGCTTCCAGGCCCTAGGACCCTGTCCTGGCTAGTTAGGACCTGAATCAGCCCCAGTGATCTTGGTGACTCCAATGGCCCAGAAATATCCCAGCCATACTATTCATGCCTCTGTGGCACCTCACCTCCCTTGCTTCTGCTCCATACACAAAAACACCACCATGTTCATTTCTGCGGAAGAGATACAAACTGGACCTCCTTGAAATTGCTGCTTGTTGATACTTTTTATCACCCCTACAACCCTCTAGATCTGAATTAGAAAGGCTAAGAGAATGCTCGCTGCTGTAGGAGAACAGAAAAGTCAATTGTTCTGCCTGAGGGAGTTGTATAAAGTTGATCAGCTATTACTGTAACACCCCATGATAGGATTTGCTCTTTACACCATCACCTCTTCCCAGATCCCATCCTCAAATCAACTGTATAAATATGCATATACAGTGCATATAAAATGAGATGCTCTTCAGGAAATAAGTAAAATTTATGTGATAAGCTATTTAAATTTCATGTAACCGTTCAGGAATTCTAGTGAGAAGGAAGTAAGGAAGGGTGGGAGGAAGGGAGGGAGGGAGAAAAGGAGAAGGGGAGGGAGGGAGGGAGGCAGGGAGGGAGGCAGGGAGGGAAGGAAGACAAAGAAAAGAAGTCTAATGAAATTTATTGGAGGGGTATGTGGGAGATAGTCCTATGTGGGTAGCCCTTGAAATCCAGAATTTGCCACTAAGAATAGTTCTGTGAAAAATAC